TTCTTTTTTTATGCTTTGAATCTTAAATATCTTTTATGATATTAGTTTTTTTTTTTAGAAAAATTTTAATTTTGATTGTTTTATTCAATATATCTTCTTAAAATCTTAACAAAATTAAGAAATTAATATATTTTCTTCTTCGTCCTATATGTTTAATAATTTTTATTAAATGAATCATTTTATTAAAATAAGAAGTAACACCTCAATATTATAATACCTAAACAATGAAACAACTAATTCAAATAATTTTAAAATCTTACTCTTTCCATCTTAAAATGCCTATCTTTCTTTTTTTATGGATTTGTTTATTAAAATTTTATATTTTCCCATCACAAAAAAAAAGTAAAGAATATGAAAGAGGGAGCATGTAATTCAATAATTCAAATCATTGACTAAATAAAGAGTCAAACATTTTTATCAATTAGAGGTTTTATTAATGAGCAGTCACTTTTTGAAATAAATGAAAAAATCTTTAAAAATAAAATCCTAAGATAATTAAAAAAACTTAAAGAGAGAAGATCTTTGAGTTTGTGTTTAATTAAGATACTTAATTCCTATGTTATTCAGTATACAGAAAATTTGATTATTTAAATTATAATATTGTTATCTTTTGCAAAACATTTAATTAAGTTCTAATATTTTCTTTGTATTTAAAATAATGGTTATAAAAAAATACTATAAATTGTATTAGTTCTGAGTTGTTAAGTACAAAAGATTAAAAAGACTTAAATGATAATAAATTAAAATTTTACATGATAGATATAATATTTAAAAACTTTAAAAACTAAAAAAGAATAATGTATACTAATTTTAAAAATTTTCAAATGCAGAGGGGGGTAGCCGGCCCCGCACACCCCTTCCTCCGCCCTTGGCCTTGTCCTCCCTCCCGCTCCTTAGGTCATCACCATCTTGAAAATGATGACATAGATGTTCTTTAGTTGGATTAATATTTTATTAATTTTTAATTTTTAAATAGTCAATTATGATATTTAAAAATATTAATTTATTAATTAATCATAAATATTAATTATTTTATTAATTATCAATTATTTTTAAAATTGAAATTAAATAAAACTGTGTAATCTTATCCTTATAGCTTGTGACAATAGCCACACCCAAAAAAACTCACATTGGCATATTTATCTTTACACCCCTTTATATTATGACTTGACTCGATTGGGCGCCTAATGTAAATTATGTTTCCGTATGGTTCCTATCAAAAGGACTTTGGACACTAGAGAGCAGACTTGGGGAAGTCTATTAGTCCAAGTCTTCGTCTTTGTCTTCACCTTTAATAGGTGCTATATAAACCTCACACTTCAACTTTAGAAAAGGTGTAGGTCCAACTTTATTATCAGTACGTAACAGTATCGTAGCCACAAAAAAAAAAAAAAAAAAAAAAATCAAACATTATTTAAGAAATGAACTAAAAT